TAGTTAATATTAAAAATATAAAGCTAAGAAAAGAAAGTGATTAAAGTGTAAATGGTGAAATATAATATAGTAAAACAAATCAGAATAATATAGTGTAAAATAATTAAATACTTCTTGCAAATATAAATACAAATATGATTTAAAATTTAGAATCATTTCACTTATAGGTATTATAGAATATTTTTTTAATATGGACAGAATTAAATTAAAATGTAACTTTTTTACAAATATTCTATCTTAAAAAAAGAGTAACTCAGAAATTTTAAAGACTAAATTATTAATTTAATATATAAGCATATTATGTGCCATCATTTCCTCATTCTTTTGCAAGCTCGCCACTCTGCTCCTGAGCTTCCTATTCTCCTGGTCCAATAAATACATATGTACCAACCCTATAATTTTAAAAGGAAAAAAAATTTACTTTTGTTATAAATTTTAAATTAATATTTGTGGACAATCTGAAAGTTTTCAAGGATCCTATACTTCTAATTTGGCCAAAAATTTAAAACATGTATTCACCATTGTTAATAGTTATACAATGGAATCAAACAATTTATGATTGTAAAGATATTATTTACATTTTAGATAACAATAGCAAAATGGCCATAAGACATGAGTTATACTTTTCCCTGCTCCTCCCAATTAAAAAAACTAATAAGTCACAATCTTTTTAACTTTAACAATGAAGTATACTTTTCAATGTTGTAAATGGTTTTGCTCATTGCCCACATTGACTTTCATTGACTTTCTGCCCAACATTTGCTGAGCTAATCTACATATAAAACGTTAATTGAATACTTTCAACTGTCACAATTTTGTCATTTGCCAGAATATATACCCAATTAGTCAGCGCAAATATTTCCACATATCCCCTCCTCCAGGCATATATACTGATTTGCAATATCCGTGCACGGAAGCTAGCACACCAAAGAAGACTTCCTCTCAAGGACCACAAGAAAGGTGGCTAAGTGATAGGTGCTTGATTTTATACACGACGTGTCACGTTCCTTATTTTTTGGAAAAGATCACTCCTTGTTCTTTTTCATGGGGATCTTCACATCTTTTGTTTGTTTCCTTATATAAAGTAGACCATGCCAACCTTGAGGAGCCTCGTATGTGGAATGTTGAGGATGAGAGTGCTCTCCCTAAAGTTTTTCCGGAGGAACGCATAACCGTAGTCCACCACAAACTTGTTGATAAAGCTCGAGTCCTCGCGAGCTCTCACATCGTTGTCGCCCAACAAGTATACGACCCCAGCTTTCCGGGACTCCTCGAGAAATCCTAGCTCCTCCACCACTCCACTGCCTGGTATAGCGATCGCGCTCTCCTCTGGAGCTTGCGGTGGCGATAACTGGAGAGAAACCGGATAGATCGCCACACTGCAGCTGTCCGTGTCGGCCTCGCCCAAATGCCTGGCCTCCATTTGCTTCCCATCGTCCTCAATGCTTATAAACTCGGCCAAGCTCTTGAAGAGATCCTCCTCAAACTGGGTGTCGCCCCTGTGACAATCCTTGTAGCCATACCTTGCAATGCAGCGATACATCCGAAACTCCTTGGACCCGACCCTTCTAAACAAGAACCTCTCCTCCGACAAAACGTTGCTCACAGGCAAATTTTTGATCGTCACGAACATGATCACTGAGTGCATTGCCGGGAGATTCGTAATGTAGTGCGAGAAGATGGAAGGGATTCCTTGTGCAAGCTCCGTGTAGACCAATCCAACTCCACGAACTCGGGAGACTCCCAGGTTTGACCCCAGTCCGGTGATCCAGTCCATGGAGATCTTGTTGTCTAGCTCGTATTTGTAGCGCTTGGAGTTTCCACTGAACCAAATGACCATGACCGTGAGGAAGAGCGCTGCGAAGAGGAGTGGAAGCCATCCTCCATCTTTAAACTTGTAGACCACAGCAGAGAAATACGTGAATTCCACACTCCAGTAGACGAGGAGATAGAGTAGAGCTAGAAACAATTGTGTCTTCCATATCAAAACCATGATAATCGTTGTAAAAGTGGTGGTAACAGCCATGTCCATAACCACACAGATTCCTGAAAGAAAACAAAGAGAGACAATAGAGATTTAAAAGGAGGTGGAAGAAAGAAAGAAAGAACTAACCATATGCGTTTCCAATTGTTGTAGTGTCTCTGAAGGCCGCAGTGATAAGTACACAAGCACACATCAGGAACCAATTCATCTCCGGGATATAAACTTGACCCACGAAGTTTTTCGAGGTGTGAACGACCTTGATCCGTGGGAAGCATCCCAATGCCTCGGCCTGCTTGATGATCTGAAACACCGCCGAGATCATTGCCTGGCTCGCGATGATCGCTGCAAGCACTGCTACTACAAACATTGGCCAGTACAAAGGCTCTGGATCAAATAGAATAAAGTGGTGTCAAGCTCTGGAGATTCGACAAGATGAACTTACTTGGAACTGATTTGTAGAAAGCTCTTCCAACGTCCTCTGGATGCTCCATGAGATAGGCAGCTTGGCCAATGTAAGCAAGGAGAAGTGAAGGATAAACGTAGGTTGTGAAGGCGATTTGGATCGAAGGAACCGAAAAATGGCCCAAGTCCGCAAACATGGCCTCAGTTCCTGGTGTGGAGCAGCAGTGTCACGATTTTAGAAGGCAAAAACCAAAGAAAAAGAAGGAAGAGGCCTCACAAACCTGTGATGCAAAGAACAACTCCTCCCAGCGAGATGAATCCTTCCCGCTTGTTGGTCTTGAAGTAGTCGAAGATGTACTTGGGATTGAAGGCGGCGAGAACTCCATGATCGTGGTGAATTAAGTTGTAGAGGCCGATCATAGCGATCATGGCAAACCAGATCGTGAGTACTGGAGCAAACATGAAGCCGACCTTGTCCGTGCCAAATCGCTGGACGCTAAACAGGCAGATGAGAATGACGATGGAAACCACGACAATCACACCTGATAGTCAACCATGGTTTCTCGTTAGAACACTAGAAACGTAGGCAACGAATAACAAGTTAGAGCACTAGAAACATAAGAAACAAACAACAAATTTAAAGAGAAAAGAGAAAAATGAATTCTTACTTTGGCTGAGGTTTGGAACTTGGACTTGGATTCCTTGCACAGCAGACAGCACTGGAAAGAAAAAAATAAAACCAGAATTTTCCGAGTGATCGATGAAAAAGCTGTGAATTTCTTCTTACCAGAGATGGAGGGGGTGAGAGTTCCATCGCCGATAACCATGCAAGTTCCAAAGAAGGTGATCATCAGAAGCACGACGTGGACGGCCTTGTGTCCCTCTAGAAAATTCTTGATCCAGATCCCTCGTCGAATCCTTCCCTGGTTCGGCAAGTCGAGCTTGTACGCCGACAAGTTTTTGTCCTCGGGGTGTCTCTTGCCCATCACATCGACGTTGGCATTTCGACAAATCAACGAGTAGAGCGCAAACGCACCACCTGCTCTCCAAGAACAAGAACAACAAAAACCACAGGAACTTTGAGAAGATCCAAACAAAAACGCAAAAGCAAAGCTCCTTGTCCCAACCTTCGCCGTTGTCATTGGCTCGAAGCACAACGAACACGTATTTGATGAGGGGGCTCAGCGTGAGAGTGTAGATGATGAGCGACAGCACGCCAAGAACGTTGGTTTTCAAGTGATCCCGCGAGATACCGCCAGGGAAAGTGCTGCTAAACACGTAGAGCGGCGAGGTTCCAATGTCGCCATACACCACACCGATCGTTTGGAATGCCAGGCGGAGGATCACCGCCCTCGTCAAGATCTGGAAACCACATTCCTTGCTCATTTCAAGAGATCGAGATCAAGAAAAGAGGAGGAGAACTCGAGGGGTCGACGTTTCGATCGTTTCGATCGATTGGGGGAGGAGAAAGAAAAAGCTACCTTCCGTCCATGGTTCTCCATGCCCGTGACCTTCCCCGCATCACGCTCCAGCGAATCCATCCGGCCGAGCTTCTTCGACGAGGATATTCGTGGCGGCGGGCCGTGGCTTTCTTCCATGTCGGTGCCTTCCATAGCCGGCGAGAGGAGGAAGAAGAGCTCTCGTGAAAGGGATCACGAGCGAGAGCAGAAAAAGAGGAGAGAAAAAGCTCTCAAATCGATGGAGGAATCATCGTCGAATGGAAGATCAAACAAATAACTCTCACTCTCTCCCTCTCCCTCTCGCTCTCTCCCTCTCCCAGAGACCAAACCAAGGATGAAACAAAGCTATGGTGGAGAAACGGGAGAGAAGAATGCTCTGCTCTCACATTTATAGGTATTACTATCTCCGTGTAGTTAACGTGTTAACCAATGGTTAACTTGTGCGTTGCTTATTGGGCCAAATTTTCCGCCACACTTTCAACGTATTCTCGTGGCATATTCGCATTCATCGAGACCGCGAGAGAGAGAGGGTCAGATGAATTACCCTAAAACTCACCCACTGGGCAGCTTCTCAAGTTGTCGCCCTCGCCCCACGTCTCGGAAATCTCGAGTCCACTCTACAGTCTCGTGCGACAATTTAGTCATCGCACGCCCAGGTTCATCCGAAAATATGCTGCCGCTGCATACAAACAAACCTCGCGTTTCTTAAAGACTTGCTTTAGTCTATTTTACAGAAGTCGTTGTCCCTTGCAAATGTAGATCCGTTTCCATCCATCGCATGAGAAGAGAAGTTAGAAGCATCACGTCCAACGCATTTGCATTGCATCACAGCCAACAAACAGCTAACGAGTTTGGACCAGGGCACAGACACCCTTGCGGAACCCTAGAAAGTCCGCCACCTTTCCCACAAGCTTTGCACTGGTGGCGGTGAAGCAAAGATCATGGCTCCCAAACTTTTCCTTTAAAAGCGGCAACGCATTTAGTTTGACATTAATTTTAGGGCACGGCGGTCAACGCCCGTCATCGCCCTTCATCTCGCCCGTCGCACGACGGGCGGTGGTGGGTAACCGGATTTTCCGTTCTTGCACAGAAAATATCTGTGTAGAGCGGATTCGTGAATGACGTGTTGAGAAGGGAGCGGGCGTGGCACGCATATTCCCGCTAGATTCGTCCTGGGCTGTGGCGCTTTCAGATCGATCGATTCCAGCGCGCGGTTCCAAGCACGAAAAAGAAAGAACAACTTCTTCCAGCCCAGAAGGAGAGCGAGTTTCTTTTCTGGCGATGGAGAAAGCGATGCCTGGATCATCTCCTCCTCCTCCAAGGTGAGAGCAACGATCAGTTCTTAGAAGATGACATCTCCGGGCGATTGTTGGGTGGGCCTCCTCCTCCGATCAAGCGGCGCTGCTCCTCCTCTCTGGAGCTCCATTGCGAGGATCTCCGTCTCCTTCTCGCATCCCCGGAGGAGGACGATGATCAGCAGGATCCCAACTGGGCGATCTTGCGCAACGACGACTCCAACTCGTCCAGTGATCAGAGCAAGCAGAGCAGCGATCTGGGCGAGGGGCTCGGGATCGCGATCCAAGAGCCGCTGTCGCCATTTCTCGGCGAGGCGCAAGGAGCGGCAGGAGATTTCTACTGGCCGCAGTGTGATCTGGATCAAGCGTCCAAGGGGGCGATCGAGGACCAGGAGTGGATGAAGAGGGCAGTGGCGTCGATCGAGCCCTGCGCTTCTTCCTTTATCGATTGCTGCGTAGAGTTCTTTCTAGATTAAAGTTCTTCTAGGGCTCTCCGTTTTCTTTGCATTTCAAAACTGTGCACGACGTGTCACCCACGGTCAGTGCTGACGTGGTGATGACTTGGCGGTGACGCGGCGGGCGGATAGGTTTGAATTTGGATTAAATCCACGCCCTCCACGTCACCGCCTGGCACGATTTTGTAAGCTCCCTCTTCCAGGAACTAGTATATAGCAGCGCTCCAGCCCTAGCCCATTGCAAGGTATCTCGATCGATCGCTTTACCTACTTTTCGATCCAGGTGAGTTTCCTGCCATTCTTGCCCGGAATGTTAGCGCGATCGCGCATCGGCTCAGAGATTTTGTGTTTCTTGCGCTAGGTTTCGGGGATTCTTCGCAAGAATGCTGGGCGTCTTTCACAAATCGGTCGCGGCGGGACCAGTAGAGCTCTCGGCTCCGGGAAGCGTGGATGATGATCGCCGGAAGAGCGGCGCCCAGATTTTGCAGTCATTTACCTCGGCGATCCCACAGGCGGCATCGGTGCAGCTGGATGGGCTTAGCGCAATGGCTTATTCTCACGAAAAGCAAGCTCTTCTCAAGCCACGGTAGGAATGGAACTTTGGAAACTTTTTTTTTCACGTTTTGGTTCTTGTTCTTGGCAGAGCTTTCGCAGTTCTGGATGATATCTTTTGCATCTTCGTCGGTGTTCTGGAAAATCTTCCAGCACTCAGGCAGCTCTACGGCCTCACGAAGAATGTGTGTGAGGAGACCCTGGTGATCGAAATGTACAAGGCCCTGCGAGATCGGGCTCCATATCCTGCGCATCAAGTTGTCAAGGATCTCTCTGGCCAGTTTGCATTCGTTCTCTTCGACAATGCGACCAAAACGCTGCTTGTGGCAAACGTAAGAACTCCTCCCTGTCCTGGGCTCGTTTATTTGCTAACGTTGAAGCTACATTCAGGATGACAAGGGCAAGGTTCCATTTTTCTGGGGCATTGCTGCCGACGAATCACTTGCATTCTCGGATAATGCAGATCTCTTGAGGAATGGTTGCGGCAAATCGTTTGCTCCATTCCCGGCTGGTAAGTTCTTCGAAAGTTTTTGTGAATCCGATCGAATATTTCTCTTTTCTCTCTCTCTCTCTCTCTCTCTTCTAGGATGTTTCTTCACAACTGGAGGTGGCTTGCGAAGCTTCGAGCACCCTTTAAACGCTCTGAAACCGGTGCCACGAGTGGACAGCCAGGGACAGATGTGTGGCTCCACTTTCAAAGTGGACGAGTCGCGCAAGGATCAACCGCGAAGTCTTCCTCGGGTCGGGAGCGACGCCTCGTGGGGAGCCGCCTGCTGACAAGGTGTTTCAAGTTAAGACCATCTCCTTTTTCTTCTTTCCTCCCCGTGAACAGAATCACAGATTGCCGTGGGACATCACAAGTTCTTCGTGCCTGTCTGTAAAGATCAGGACACAAGCTTAGAACTTCCAGTTTTGACTTGGTTGGCTCTTTTTTTTCCTAGTCAATTCTGTCACAATTCCAGTGCTGGCTTCTTCTAGGCAATGCAGCGAGAAAAAATCTCCCTTTTTTCTTGCACTGCTCGGAAGATCACACCACACACGTACACTAATCGAGCGATTTCTTTCTTTTGTGCGCCTTTTAGCGTAGCTAGAATGGGTCCATATAAAAATCGGCGAATCCATTAACACGTTGAGGCCCACTAGCTCCTTCATTGAATTAGAGACGTATACGCAACTCCTTCTTGCCCTAAAATTTGGATGTTTTGCCCTAAACTTTGCATTACTACGCGGCGGCGCGCGATTGGGTCCCACTCCCCACCGGCCGGCAAAGAAACCGGGCGGCGGGGGCTCGCGATTGGCTGCCCAGATTTTGCCGCTTGACACGTGGCACCACGATACCGCCGGCCAAGTCGTTTTTTTCTTTGTCCGGGCCCTGTCTTATTTCAGCCATGCATGGTCATGATGAGTCATGCCCAGGCATGGCATTTTGTCATTGGGTTCTCCCACTCGGCGACAAAAGAGAGAATCCAGCGGCTGCTAGATACCCTATCTTGGACGGGATCGAACCCGATACCCTTTCTTCGTGAGAGTTCTTTTGTTTCCACACAGCAGCATTGTCGTTCTTGGGAGATCCTTAGTGGCTTGGGAGGATTATTCCAACGAGATGCGCACGGACCATCGTCAAACGCAAAGAATGGAGACTTTAGGTAGTCTAAGTACTCTTGATCTAGTACATATTGACCTTGTCTACGACTGATTGATTGATCCGACCAGCGCATATATCCAGTCCAAATTTCAGACTTGCCGCTCAAGCAAACCCTAGTGCTTTGGAGCCACCAAATCACTAAAGAACTCTTTCCAATCGATTACTCCACCGCCACCCACTAGAGTCTTCTACATCAAACCGGCAACATCGTTTTTTTAGGTCACGGACGCCAGGCAGAGATTCCAATCCACCCCGCGGTAAATTAAAACCGCCCAAATTTCCCAGGCTTTAGGCCCGAAAGACACGCCGACGTGGCAGGCGCGCTATCGGTTGATTGGGCCGTGTTACACGTGGCAGTAGCTAGACCGGTGGATTTAGCGGGACCGACCCCGCTGTACACCGCCACATCAAATTTGGGTGCGCCTGATCGACAAGACAGCTCAAAACGGGCGACACGTGTCAGGGGTTCGGCCGTTGGATGCGGCGGATCGGACCGCTGGCGCCCGCCAGCCATCTTTAACATTGTGATGTCTCAGTATATACACACGCGAGGGAAATTCCGGGGCCTCGCGATTGGAAGGAAGAAAGAGAGGGAGAGAAGGCGCGATCGAGGGGACGATCGATCGCGAGAGTGAGAAGACCGCATTAGATCGTAGCGAGATCAATCGTTAGCGAAGACGGTGATCTTACCTCGAGGCCGGATCTAGGATTGCGTGTTCTTCACTCCTTTCTTTTGCTTTCTTTGCCTTGATTCTTCGCGAGGTTTCGAGAGCGATGCATGGCCTTCTTGCTTCCCTGGCCCTGCATTGATCGATCCACCACTGGAGGGAGATTTATTTGCATGTCGTAGCGCAGATTTCTGGAAGATCTTCCCATGCCGGGTCCCAAGATGAAGCAGCCGGAGCGTGAATCGATCAAGAACGTGTGCCCGAGGCGAGTTCGCGTTGTGTGCTGCGATCCCGATGCCACAGACTCGTCGTCGGGCGAGGAGGATCACCAAGAACAGGGGAAGAAGGCGATGCCACATCCAGGCAGAGCACGAGTAGACAGCGATCTTGTCGCCGCGACGACGGTGATGATCTCCTCGGATAGCGAGGAGGAGAGGGATCTGGCCATGGTTCCCAGCTACATTAGCGTCTTTCGAGCGCACGCCATGGCCGATCTCGAGGAGAAGACGCGATATTTCGTGCGGCCGGTGCCCAAGATCGAGCCGGATGCCGCCACGGACACCGAGGAGCAGGGATATTTCGCGGAGCCGGCCCCAGCGCCAGCAAAGATCGCGAAGAAATCCGTGAGGAGTAGCAGCAGCAAGAAGCGCAAGATCGTGGAGAGGGACGATGGCCCGCGGCCAAAGTACCGGGGCGTGAGGCAGAGGCCGTGGGGGAAATGGGCGGCGGAGATTCGCGATTTCTCGCGGGGGATTCGAGTGTGGCTGGGGACTTTCGACACTGCCGAGGCGGCGGCGGAGGCCTACGATCGCGCGGCGCGGCGGATGAAAGGGCCGAGCGCGCAGACCAATTTTGGGCTGGATGGGAGGAGGATCGTGGAGCCGGGCAAGGTAGAGGAGCTCAAGCTCCGGCTCAAGGCAGCGGCGGAGCGCCCGGCGGCGGCGATGGAGCTGGTGTGCCGCACGAATCGGCAGGAGATCGATGGCATCGACGCGATAGCGATCGAGCCAGCGATCGAGCCAAACAGGAGATTCGTGGAGGAGGAGAGAGATTCGTGCTCGAGCATGGGTGGCAGCGCAATGACGAGGGTCGAGGCGATCAAGAAGGAAGTAACTGATGAGGACGAGGAGGAAGATCTCTCCTCCTCGAGCTGGGATTTGTTTAGCAGCAGATCCCCGGTCTCGGTTCTTGCGAGCTCCGACCCTTTTGGAGGAGCTTTCTTTTCCGAGTCGATCGAGGAGCTCCAGGGGAGCGATTTGAGCGATTTGAGCGAGCTGGCGATGCGGCTGGAGCGTCAGCAAGGAGGCTTGGATGATTTTCCAAGCATTTTTGATGGATCGTCGTTCCGGCTGGACGATCCTCCGGTGGTGGGCGACATGGATGTGAATCTGGGAGAGCTGGGCGATGAGCTAGACGCGGGCTTTGTCCCGGATTCCTTCGTGGCGATGTTACTCGAAGAGCCTTCGTCTTCCACTACTTGATAGATATTTTTTTTCTTTTCTGTGAATAAGTAGCGAAATTTATTATAGCCTTGATTGATAGCTCCTGGTCCGGATTTTGTGAGAGAAGTTGTAAATAAATTGATTGGAAAAAACAAGCAAAAACTTTTTAATCTGAGAATGAGACTCAAACCAAAGATCAAGAAATTTGATAAGATAGAACGTTTCGTTTCGTCTCCCGCCATGGACGCTTTAAAGAGCTTATAAGATTTCCTTTGAGAACCAAGAAGCAAACCAAAAAATGGTGCTTGTTCTCCTTCTCGTGGCTTCTTCCCTGCTCTTCCACGCACAGCGCTCGTCGCCCTCTCGTCTCGATCTGGCCCTCAAGCTCGATGGTCTCCGGCGCGTCAATGGATCCAACTCACGCACCACCGTCCATGATCTGGGCGATGATCTCGGGGCGATCGAGGATCCCAATCCCGGCGATGGCTATAGCTGCAACTTCGAGATGTTCGAGGCGATGGGAGTTTGCAACACCCTCGACTACAAGTCGTGCTGTACGTCCGTCAAGACGGCGCTCTACGGAGGCTGCCTGTGCACCACCGTCTTCCAGGACTACATCCGCTACTGCATCCAAGTCACTCGCGAGCTCAACGAGTACCTGGACGAGAACTGCGTCCCCGACCAGAGTAAGATCGACCAGGTCCTGTGCTACCACAATCTCACGTATCACGAACGCCATGACCCCGGCGGTAAGTTCTTCCTGCTTTTGGCATGGTTTTCCCTGCTTTCCTGCGGCTGACTTTGGCTTCTCTGCAGTGTATTCTATCTGTCCGCTCGTTTCTCTGACCCCGTCTTCGTCCCCGGACCCCGACGACCGCGTCTCGCCCTGGCAGTGGTTCTGGAACACCTCTGGAACGCTTCCGCCACCACCACCAGATGGGAGTTCGTCTTCTCCTCCGAGTGGGAATCCTCCTCCTGGCGATGAAGGTGGACACGGTCAAGTGACGGGCCAGACTTCTGGGGGATCTGACGACCCGCTGTCCGATACTGGGAGTCCACCAGCAACAGCGTCGAGCTCGTTGTCATTGGCTCCAGCAGCACAAGTTCTCCTGTTGGTGATGTGTGTCGTGGCTTTGTAGGCCACCTAGAGTTATAGCCCCTGTGACTGAGATTCCAGTTTTAACGAGGCTTGATTCGTACGAAGCTGTCCAGCTGACCAGAAAGCTGCTCTACTTGCCCGCTCTTTGCTGATTAACCGCTTACGTGAACACTCGACGCACAGGTGCATAGGCACACTGTAACAGAGAAGTTAGAACGAAGAAAGTTTCACGCAAAAAGACTCTCACCAAAGGACTGTACGAGTCCGACGCCTTGAGTCTTCTTCTCCGCGGCAGTGGCGTTGCCAGCTTCGTCCATCTGAGCGTCCACGACATGCCGCATTTGGCCCAGCTTCTTCTGCGCTAGATTTGAAGCCGTGTCGAGTGACTTCTCTCCAGCAGACCCCTGTCCAAACACAGACTTGACAGTCCCCAAAACACCGCCACCATGCTGTTCTTGCTGCTGCTGCGGTTGCTGCTGCTGCTGTTCTCCCTGGTGATTATCTTGCGTCCCTTTGTTCTTCTCCTTCCCTGCCAACTTGGCGCCAACCTTGAAATAACCCAGCGGACTCTTTTTTCTCTTTTGAGGCTGGTGAGGAGGATGGTGTTGATGCCCGTGAGCAGCCCTGTGCTCGTTTAATAGGTGCTGCTTAGGATGGTGGCTCGATCCTTCTGCCTCGTCGGACCAGTCCTCCTCTTCCATTTCACTGAAATCACTAAAGTCTGGAATATGATGCTGCTGATTTTTCTCGTTTACATCCGAGTGCTCTTGTTGTCTATAATTTGAGTGCTCTTGCTGATGTCCTTCAGACTCCCCTGCGCCACCATGGTGGATCTTCTCAGCAACCTTGTGAGCTGCGTCGTGAAATGCCTTTTCGTCCTTGGCCAGCCTCTTCACTCCTTCCAACACATCCTTGCTTTCCTGTTGGACCACCTTGCTAACCGTGTGCTTGGCCTGATCTAGCATTTCTTTAGCTTCCTCCTGTACCGCGGGCTTCTTTGCCTCCAGCTTTTCCGTCTTTTCCTTGGCGGTTGAGAAATACGGAGCTAGCTTCCCCTGTCCTTTGCCAACAATCTCACCAGCTTGTTGCTTTAAATCATTGGCCTTGTCTCTCACAGACTTCCCTTTGTTCTGACCATCGTCCTTGACAGCGTTTTTTACGTCGTCGGTGGTCTTCTTGACCTGCTCAGCCCTGCAACGAGTCAAAAGCTTAGAAAACGAGCGGGGAAGGAGACAGCTTACGGTTTTTCTTTCTCATATTCACCGTATTCATCATCGTCGCTCGGGGCCATGAGCTCCTCAGGACAGTCTTGAAAGTGATCAATTGTGATCCCGCTTGGACGGATCCTAGACGAAAATCAGAAGCTTCCACCAAGTGCTCACTCACTCACCTAGAAGCGGATTCTCCGCGGACGCGCGCTTCGGTAGTTTTGAAAAAACAAAACCGGAATATACCTGGCGCAGCGTCAGTTAAAGGAAGAAAAAAACAAGTGTTAATAGAAAGGAGCATATCTATATAAGAGAGGAAGAGAGGAACATTATTATCCACATCGCCAAAAAAGATAACCTTCTTCGTACGTAAAGTCGTGTCGATCGAAGATTGCTAAGCTTAACAAGCGCAGCCACCAGCCTTGGTCTCGCTGGGAGGGGGATTTGTCTTCAAGCTGACGTCCACTAGATCTTCTTGCTTAGCGGACGAGAGCGCTTCCATTCCCGGTAACGCCGCAGCGATTTTCCTGAAGAGAGCCTGCTCGAAAGATTCTCTCAAGTAAGAGGACAGGAAAGAAACTTTAAAAACTATACCTTGATGTTGAATCCGGCCTTGGCACTGGTTTCAATGTACATAACTCCGAATTCTCTCGCTTTCGCATCGCCCTCCTCGATCGATACTTGCCTGCTCCAACCAAGTACAGTCAGTGATGGACGTAAACCATCCCTTGCACACACCTTTTATCAACCAAATCCGTCTTGTTCCCGACGAGAACGATGATGACATCGCTACCCCGCTCCGTGCGGACTTCTTCCACCCATCTGGCCGTGTTTAGAAACGACTGGCGATCTGGAAGCGAAGTTTTGTATGATCGAGAAACGCAAGAAGCAACAACTTACTCGCTACATCGTACACGACGACTGCCACGGACGAATCCCGTATGTAGCTGGGAATCAAACTCCGGAAGCGCTCCTGGCCAGCAGTATCCCTGGACGTAAAAATAGACTCGTAAAAAACCATCCTTTGAAGCTAGAACCAGCATACCAGAGCTGCAAGCGGACTGTGCGATCTTCCAGATACATGGTCTTGGATAAGAAATCGATCCCAATCGTAGCCTTGAAAATTTCCAATTTGCCAAAGTGAGAGAGAAGAAACTCGTAATCTCATACCTGGTATGTGTTGTCAAACTTATCATACATGAATCGCGTGATGATGCTCGTCTTCCCCACAGACTGATCGCCGAGAAAGACGAGCTTGTACTTTGCAAGCGGGGACACCGTCGCGGTCGGCACTCCCATCCTCGCTCGAGAATCCCTTCCCCTAGAAACCTTTCCCTAAGACCTCGTAAAACCTATCCCCGAAAAGCTCCGATCCGCGAGTCAAGAACGGCGGCATTCCACATCCGAGAAGGAGCTGGGCGCGGATCTACGCGGGGATCATCGCGAATTCGCGAGCTGGATCTCAGATCCAACGCTCCCCTCCCCGTCACAAACCCTAGCCAACGCGTCAATCGAAAACGCGGAATATACCGTTAACCACGTGGACAAAATATTATCGAAAGAATGCTTTCGCGCGAATCTCTTGCGGTCCCTTTAGGTTCATCTATAGGTAGCGATTTTTCTATCACTTCCATCGCTTTTTTCCTCGTTGGTTTCACCTGGGTTGGAAAATTTTTGCTTTCGTGAAAGAAAACTCTTTTTTTGGTTCGTGGGCATTGTCTAAGGAGAAGATCATAGAGAATTGTTACCTCGTAGGTTCCAGGGAGGCCATTTTTTCATGACCCCATAATGGATGGATGGATTTTGAGTGGGATTGCGTAGTCACTCTCCATGGGACGATAGAGACGGCGTAATCACTTCCATCCATTCCTCGTGATCCAATGGTCTGGGACGCGAAAGCGCATCAGTACATCTGCCCTTCTTTGTTGTTTGTTGGGCGGAGCAAAATAACTTCTCATTTTAACTAATAACTATTATATCTATTTTTTAGCTCGATAATATATAATTATATTGATTACAATTACTAGTAGAAGATTCTCTAGCTTTTTCGCGAACATACTTTCAAGGCTTGACTTGATCAAAAGAAGTGGACGCTGGAGCTCCAGGTCGGTGCTCAAGAAGTACATGATCCAATCAACTGAGGATAAGCTCGAGCTAGGAGTTCCGTGATGAATAATTTCCCCAATGATGAACCGCCACCCAAAACAAAAGTAGTGATGGATCGATCGATCAAGATTTGTTCCACTCTATATAGCAAATGAAGGCTTAGATCGCTCCACGAGAAATCTTTCTACGCGTTCCTTCTAATGTGGGTCAAAATAGCACGGAAAAATAGGTCATACGGACACACGCGTGGACCTTCATTGGAACTTGGAGCCTCTTCTCAATGTGGAGAAGGGAATCTCGAAAGGACATAATATACCTTCCTCAGGGAGGCAGAGATTGCGAGATTTTTTCTTTCTAGTGCGCCACGTCAGCGACGTTGACTGGTTCAGAGTTTTCAAACGTGGCGCCAAAATTCTCTCCGTAAACCCTAAGGCTGCTTTTTAGGGTTCTTCAATCTTGGAGCGCGACAGCGACGCGCGATTGCAACAATGGAGCTGCTGCTGCTGCCGCAAGAAAGCGGAATGGTCGGCGTGGGGCTCTGCGAGGAGGTAGGCTGGAATTTTTTGGTTCTTTCTAGTCTTTGGAGTCGGTTTCATCCTGATAGCGCACTGCATTTTCTCTTTTGTTCTCTTGCTGTTAGCGCGGAAATCCGCGCTTAGCGATGGGTGTTTTGCATGGCTTCGTGCCTGGAAACTCGTGCAAAGTCCTTGCGCTTTATTCTTCACTGTATGCTTTTCCTTCCTTTGATTTCTTCCAGAGGTGGATCTTTCGCTAAGTTTCTACTGAACTTGCGATTTATCGACAATGCTGTCTTTCTTGCGTTTCTTTGTGGTTTCGATCGAAGTCGATGGATTTCTGTGCTTAAGCTGATATTTTCGTTTTAAGTGATCATCCATTTACGTTTTTCTCGCTCTTGCTTTTGTTAGTTCTTCCCATTATTGTCAAGTTTAAGAGTCGAATGTCAAGTTCTTCTCACTCACGCATTTACCTTTTTGCCTCTTTTGCTTTGTTGGTGTTTTTTTCTTTCATTTTTCCCTTGCAAAATAGACTTCCAGCGTTCGCTTTCACTGGCCTTGTTCTTTGGCGAGTGAGTGCAGTAGTGTGCAGACCTTGCCCAGCAGCACTATCGTCGAACTAGTCTTAGTGATGACACTGTCTGCGGCTGGAATAATGCTGCAACTGGCCTCTGCAAGTGGCTAGATGTGTCTTGTTGCTGCAGCTCCCATTTATATTCGAGTCTGATATATGTCCGTGAATTTCCTCCTCCAAATTCCTCGTTTCCAGTGTTTTTCTCTTCTCCATAAGTCTTATTTCTCCATTTTTTTCTTTTTTCCCCGTGCTTGGCTCTCCTGCTGCTGTTCCTAGTTGCATGCCTTCTCAGATTTGTGATGATGATGATGCTAGCGCCGCTCTGAACTGAAGTCCAGAAGCTCGTCCAGCGTCCTTGACAGCACTAACAGCATTAACAGTTGTTCAGCTTGCGCAGGCACAGGCACGTCCGTCCGTCCGGTTGAGTGTGAGTTGTGAGGAGCAAACGACCAATTGCAACGGAGAGAAGGGGTCCCCTCCTCTCCTGGTAGCTGTAGCCTGGTGTGCGGGCAAACGGCGAAACTTGCGCTGCGCGCGATCTGGGGGCTATTGTGATATCATTGTAAGTATATAGATTTTGGACCGAACTTGGTTTCTTGGATACTCCCTCTTCCGGATTTTTCTCTTTCTCCCTCTCATTCTCTACGCGTATCTGTGTCTCTTCCTTCTTCTTCTTGCTTTACTTTGTGCTCCAGGAGTCTGCAATTCACTGTCTGCGTTTCTCACCTTCGTGCTTCCTGTGTTCATGTTCTTTCTTCGTGTTCTTTCATCTGTTTCTTTCCTTCGCGAGAACTAAATGGCTAATTCGCTGCGGTGTGTGGTGTGTGCAGGTGCTTTTAGTTGTGAAGCAAGACGTAAGCGAGGAAGTGATAAGGTAACAATTTTTGGTTGCTGAAGAACACTTGTGGATAAGGTCGCTGCAAATGCATTCTTTCTGCTTCTTCTTTTCTCTCTTTCTCGCTGCTCTAGTCTTTCTTTTGCTGTCTCTCGTTGAACTATAAGGCTTTTCCAGATCTGTAGTTTCAACTCTAGAGTAATTCGAGTGCCTGTACAAGAGATTCTCAAGTCGGAGCTGAAATGAATGCTAGCTAGTATAGTTCGTTTTCTTGTAGATGCAAGCATGAGAATCTTTAATGGTGTCTTGCGTTTTCAAACAGTGTTCCTAGCTAGGCATACAATTCAGAAGGTTTTGGAAGTTCCTCTATGACTGAGATTGTTGGTCTCTTTCTCTTTTGCAGATTATCAGTCCAAGGCCTACTGCTATGCTGTTGGAGTTGGACTTACGGAGTCCGAGGATGATTTTCTTGGGTAAAGGGAGGGGAAACAGATCTGTCAGGGATGAACTTACTTCCGTGGGGCACAGGAAGTGAAGTGGTGAGAGGAAACTCCGCTCGGCAGCAGTAATTTCTCAACAAGGCAGCAGGTCCCGGAAGAACTTGTCCAACGCTCGCTGATATGCTGTAGCAGAATGATATCACTGATCACATTTGTGGAGCTGAGAAGTATGGAGGGCCACAAACGACCCCGCAACGGTACCAGTGGCGCAAATTTCATGGATGATGAAGAGCGTGGTCGAAGCAGCAACAGCAATAATACGCTAGTGGGAATCCGCTCTGAGATTCTCAAGGAAGAAGGTGGAGTTCCAGGTGATTATTGCTACGCAGATGTTCCAGAAGTGGATGGAATCCGCCTCAAGCAGCAGCAGCAGCAGCAGCAGCAGCAACAAGAACATGACAGCAGTAAAAGTTTTCCAGACTATGGACACATGCTCGGACCGGTTTCTACGATGAGCAGCGAGTATAGAAGGCTGGGCCAATGGAATAGTGAGTCGCTTTCTTCTGACTACCCGGAAAAGTATAAACGACTTGGGGGCGGTGTTCCAGAGGCCGGGCTGGACGAAAGAAGAGTTCGTAGCAGGCCCGAAGCTTCAGTCCTGTCAAATCTTCTGGGGCGGCGTGACGATCAAACCGAGCTCCACATGAACATATCTGCTCGGACTTTGAGGCCCTCGGGAGGTAAGGATCGGCACAGCAAGGTCTTCACGGCCAAAGGGCCGAGGGACCGGAGAGTTCGGCTGTCCGTTTCCACAGCCATCCAGTTTTACGACGTCCAGGACAGGCTCGGCTACGACCAACCAAGCAAGGCCGTGGAATGGTTGATGAAAAAGGCCAAGAATGCCATCGACGAGCTGTCGCAGATACCACTCCCCGGAATCGACAGGCTCACGCTTCCTAGCTCGTCTTACAACACCGCTCTCGGGTTCGGATACTCCGGGTCGGGGGCACTTTCGGCTTCTAACGAAAGTGGTGGTGGCCACTTCTCGTTAGAGAGAGGAGGAGCATCGTTTAGCTCAGGCTCGGACATGCAACTAAAGGGAGTTATACAGCAGGCGAGCCTTGTTAGCGATCAGGAGCTGGAGAACCAGAGCCCCGAGCTCAAGGTGTGCTCGAGCTCCGCCCGCGACCATCAAGCCGTTGACGAGAGCGACGCATTTCCGAGACAGAGACCCGGTGAGGACCTTGGAGCGGACATAACCATGTCAGTTGGAGAAGGCAGCTCAACAAGAACAGGCCGGGAAGTTGGAGCTCATGCAAGTATAGCTCCTTTCAATTCTGGTCATATCTCTGCACACACTGCCATGCCGGCCACAAGTTGCCAGTTGCAGCAGCAGCAGCGAGACTGGAAGAACTTTCTGCATCCGAGCAGCTATAGTCTGTACGAAGATCCGTGCTCAAGTTTGGTTCACACTGATCATCGGCAGCATCATCATCACCATCACGACCAGCAACAGCAGCATCACCAGCAAAGACTGGAACTATTTCAAACTCCGGTCGGGCCAGCGGTGCAGTACCAGCAGCAGCAGAACCACCAGCAGACGTCGCTCATCACGGTCCAGCAGAATTACTTGCAGCAACAGGAGTTTCTCCACAACTCGAGCTTGCTCCCGTTCGTCACTACCGCCAGCGCTCAGGGAAACTCAACAGGATCAAACGCAAAGCCAGCTCTGGATCAATTCCATTCTTTGAAGATAGCCTCTCCAGCAGCGATAAGTCCAACAGAGAAGCCGAGAAGCGTGCCCTCTACAGCACTGAGATTTCCCAGCAGCTTTCTCGCCTCACCATTAGTTTCGTCGTCTTCGTCACCGAATCCCGAGCGCTTTGTTTCTCCAAAGCTCCAGCAGCAGCAGCAGCAACAGGAACCACATCCATCGCTGCAGTTTGATTCGTCGCAAGCGTTCCCAGCGAAATTCCAAGGCCCGGAAGAACAGCTACGAAGAGGGAGCAAGAGAAGAGACTAGACGTCCATGTATATGATTATCTTAAAGAATAAATTGCTATTAGCAAATTTAGGGCTCCTGGAGATTGTATCTTGCCAAGGGGAAAGGGAAAATGCGGAAGGATCTAAAGGAGCAGCTGCGAGATTATCAGCTCCAATCTGCCAATCGCTGGGCATCCATCTCATTTTTCTCTTCCACATCTAACATTTCTTCCAGGTGAGGCTCCCCATTTTGATTGAGTGATAAAATCTCCAACTATTAACAGCCCTGGGAAGCTACCACTGAAATTTTTCCTCTTCTTGTGCTGTAAATTTCTTGTGTTGTGTGTTGTAGCTCTGTGCTGTGGGTATGTGAGAATCTCTGGAGCTTTTGGAGGTCTGGGCATTTTATTTCTACTCCTGTTCTTCACACACTCGCCTGGCAAAAGAAAAACTACAAGGATGCTTCCTCTGTAAAGTTTGGAACAGTCGGCAAAAATGATAAGTAAAATCAGATGATCATGACAAAGTTTTTTATTTTACAAAAAAAATGTTTTTTCCGGGACAAAATTTACCTTTTGCTGGTGATTTTTCACAAACGGAATTGTCCCATGTGTGGACCACCCTCTCTGTAGTAGAAGAGGTACTCGGTCGCCAGGCCTCCAAGAGGTCTGGGTTTGATCCCCAGCTCTTCGAACGTTAGAGCTAGCACAGGACAATCAAAATGGAGAAAAACTTAGTTCCTCGGAGTGAGATTCACCCGTTCTAGCGTTACCATCGGGAGAGACGACTTGATCCACTTTGAGAGAATCGATGTAGTGACGGTAGCACGGCCATAGCTGTGGGAGTGGCACGGGTACTCTCTTGAAGAAGAACTCTCGGACGCGGGACACGGCCTGGATGGAGAAATCACGAGTTACAAAGAAGAAGAAGAAGAAGACGATGCTTCGTTTCTGTACCTCGGCTAGCGGCAATGGAATGTTGATGATCCGCGGTTTCTCGCGAAGAACTTCAAACATCCACAGAAGCTGGAAAGGATTGCAGTTTTTTAGAGCTGGTGATTGTAGAATAGGAGGAGGTCGAACTTACGAGCTCGTGAATCGTGTAAACATCCGGTCCCCCGAGTTCATAGACTTTCCCGACGTGAATACCTTCTTTTTCTTTCACTGCGGCTAGAAAAGCAGCTGCGACGTCAAGAACACAAACCGGTTGAACCCTGCGACAGAAGTTTTAGAGCAAGCTTCGGCGCAGGACGTTTGGTTACTTTGTTTTGCCATCGAAAAACGTTGGAACATTGGGCCAGAACTTTGCCTTCGTGGCAAATCTGTTAAGGAACTTGTCGTGGTAGCCGAACATACTCGCGGGTCGCATAATAGTAGCCTGAAGGTTTAGAAGAGACAAACTCTAAAACCCGGAAAAGGAAACAGTTTGGCAAACCTCAGGAAATTCCTGTCTGACTGCTTCTTCTCCCAGGGCCTTTGTTCTATGTTGTTTGGAAGGAGAGTTCTCGTCCGCACCGACGCACGACGTATGGATATATCGCACGATCCCACCGTGCTCTTTCGATATCTGTAAAAACGAGCTCTTGTGACAACTCATTCAAGACACGGAGAAACAGCATTGTGAAATACCCGAGCAATACGTTGTGCAATATCAATGTTGACCTCCTCGAAACCGTAGTTACGAGTTTCGTATTCTCTTCCTGTCGATATAGCAAATAAACAACTTCCTGTCAAGTTCTAAATATCGAATGTAAAAGGAAGCACTGACCAATCAAGTTGATGACAACGTTGGATTTCGCAATGGCAGCGCGTATGGCATCATCATCCCGGATATTACACACAAACGGCACGATCTGACCTTCAAGTTAAAGGCATAAACTCGAAATACAAAAGCTTGAGAGCAAACGAGATTACCTGACCGAGATCACCCATCACTTTTAGATGTCGAGGCTTATCCTCCAGCCCCCTGTATGGTATCATACACTGTGCTCCAATCTTTGCTAGAGACAGAGTAAAAAACCATCTAGAACGAATGATAGAAAGAAACACCAGTAGCATACCGAGGTTGTTCACCACTGCCCGTCCCAGCATTCCAGTCGATCCAAAGATGGTCACGATGAATCCCCTGCGAGCGAAACCGTAAAGACTTTGCTGGATGATCAATAGAACTTACGTAGCTGCCGAGAGACCCCCGGCGGTCTTGACAACCAACGGAGTTCCTCCCCTCGTCGCCAGATTGAAAGCGTGGCGCACTCCTGAACTGGACTCTACATGAGAAACACTAGTCTTAGAACAAGCTCCAGCTTTAAGACTTGGAACTAGTTCCTAGAATCTACATTCCGCGACTAGATGGAAAACAAAGGGAGAGTATCACTCACCGTGCTGATCTAAGTAGGGATCGAGCACTCCACGCGATGCTGGAAGGCCTCGGACGAGGAAATCCAGCGCCTGCGCTTGACAGGCGCTTGCTCCCCGTCGTAGCGCCCTCACGGACGAAGACGCCATAGCTCAAAGCTACCTAGGGTTCTTCCCAAATATTATAAAAGGGAAAAGCCCCAAATCCCCTCCAAATGAATGTGGCAGCGCGCCTCTAGATCTAGATCACGCCGCGGCTTCTTCTCTCCATCGCTTCTCAAGGATGAGCTCGCCGACGAGGCCAGCACCATCGCCAGGGAGCTCGAGGCCTGCGCGGTCGAGCGCGATCTCTCCCGCGGCAGGGATTTGCACTCGCGGATCATCGATCGCCACGGCAAGAGCACGCTCCTCGCCAATCTCCTCGTCCACATGTACCACAAGTGCTCCAGCATCGAGGAGGCGCGATCGGCATTCGATTCCATGGCGGCGCCGCGCAACGTCTTCTCCTGGAACATCATCATCGCGGGGTATGCCCAGGCCGGGGATCTGGACGAGGCCAAGAGCCTGTTCGATCGATCGGCGACGCGAAATATCGTCACCTGGACGACGATCTTCCAGGCGTTCGTGCGATCCCGGCGCTGCGGCGACGCGATCGCGGTGTTCTTGCGGATGCCGTACCACAACGCCGTGGCGTGGACGTCGGTGGTAGCGCTCCACGCCGGTGGCGGCGAGTTCTCCCTCGCCAAGGCCATGTTTGATTCCTCGCCCGAGCGGGAGCTAGTGATCTGGAACGCGATGATCACCGGCTATGGCCAGGCAAGATTCGCCCGCGAATCCAAGGAGTTCTTCGATCGAATGCCGCAGCGCGATCTCATCTCGCTCAACGGGATCCTCCACGCCTACGGCCAGTCGGGGCAATCCACCGCCGCGAAGGATCTCTTCGACGCCATGCCCGATCGCAACGTGGTGTCCTGGACGGAGATGATCCTGATGCACGCGCAGTGCGGCGATCCCAGCGCCGCGCAGGAGGCCTTCGATCGAATGCCGCGAAGAACCCTAGTCTCCTGGAACGTGATGTTCCACTGTCACGCGCTGGGCGGCGAGCAATCGGGCATGATCCAGGCGCGATCACACGCACGGCAGCTCGCGGCGACGAAGCAGCTCTTCGAATCCATGCCCGAGCGCGACGAGGTGTCGTGGAACAGCATGATCCAGTGCTGCGTGGAGAGATCCCAGCTCGAGCTCGCGCGGGCGCTCTTCTCGCGGATGCCGCGAAGGGATCTACCGTCGTGCACGGCGATCATCCAGGCCAGCGCCGAGGCTGGAGACCTCGATCAGGCTATCGCCATGGCGGAATCCATGCCTGTGCAAGACATCGTCGCGGAGACGGCGATCTTCTCAGCATATGCCCGGTTTGGGCATCTCGATCGCGCAAAGTCACTCTTCGATCGAATCCCCGGGAAGGATGTCGTCGCCTGGAACACGCTCATCGCATCGCACGCTCAGAATAACAGCCCCCAGATTGCCGCTTCGATCCTCTCCAAGATGCCGCTATGGGATCTAGTCTCTTGGAACGCTGCCGTCGCAGCAAATGCCCAGAACGGGCATCTCGCCGACGCGAAGGAGATTTTCGATGCTATGCCCGATCGCAACCTCCTCTCCTGGAACGCGCTGCTCTCCGGAATCGGGCAGAACGGGCACGGCGATCGCGCGCCGGAGCTCTTCTTCGCGATGCTGCTCGATGGCGTGATCCCAGACAGCGTCGCGTTCTTGAGCGTGCTCAATGGCTTCAGCCACGGTGGGCAGCTGGAGATGGGCTGCCAGTGCCTGGGCGCGATGAGGGCGGAATATGGCGTGTATCCGGCGCCCGAGCACTGGAGCTGTGTCGCGGACATGCTGGGGCGGGCGGGATTGCTGAGCCAGGCGGAGGAGATCATCGAGGCAATGCTGGGATCGCCAGACTCGGTTGTGTTGAGAGCTCTTCTCAGTGCTTGCAGCGTTCACAGGGATGTTGCTCGCGGGGCGAGAACCGCGGAGATGGATTCCAGCGCGAGCGATGGCGGCGCTCATATCTTAATGTCTAACATCTACATGGATAACGTCTAGAGGTTAACGAAGCATCAAAGTGAGTATATTCTGTTCTTCGAATTCACAAGTTCCCGCGAATATCAAAACTGAGCTAGAAGAAATACTTTACACATGAGCGATCGATCTTCCGAGCTATCTAGATCTCGATCTATGGTCATCCATCCTAGAATTCCTGGGTATTGGGCGATGGTGGAGGTACCACCACATAGCGCTGCCGCGGATGCCTTGGCATAGCGAGATTGCCCCCATTTCGCGGTGGAAACTGCGAGATCTTGGGCGGAGGAGGGAGCGGAGTCGTGTGAGCGACGCCCATGACCGGCAAAGCTTTCTCGTCATCGCACTCGCACCGGAACCCCTGGATGAATTCGACCCACAGATCCTCCGTCTTGGGGTAGTAATCGTCGTGGAAAGGATTGGTCCGGCCATCCCTCGCGAATCCAAAGTCGAGCACGAACACCTGGAGCCGCGGCGATCCCCAGCGTCGCCCGACCACGTACTGGACATCGTTGCAGCTGAGATCCATGCGCCGCGCGGCTCCGACCAGCCTGCCCATGTCCCTGGCCACCGCCGGGACGTCCAGGCCCAGGCACTCGCTCGCCTCTCGCGCTAGAACACACGGCGCCTTGAAGAAGATATCCGGCGGCGGAAGAACGAAGAGGCCGAGCTGGAGCTTCCACACCCGATTCGACTGGAGGAGCTCCGCCCAGCGCGGATCGTCCGGGTAGTAGCGCGCCTTGAGCGCCTCCAGCTCGCAACGCTCCGGCCCGAAGATCCTTTCCATGGCGATGATGCCGTCGCAGAAGGGCCGCTGCTCCGTGTGGCTGCGAAGCCAATCGCGTTCCTTGGCGCCGCCCACCAGGCTGTAGAGGACAAGATCCTTGCCGCTGCGAAGCACCGCGTAGGGCATCGGGACGCCGACGGCCTTGAGATCCATGTCGAACACTGCCTGGTGGAGCCGCTGCGCCGTCTCGGCCTCCTCCTTGAGCTCCTCGTAGGGAATGCGCTTGGCGCCCGGCTTGACGCCATCGCCGTGAAGGAGCTTGAGCGCGACACCGGCGCCGCCATCGTAGACAATGCCGAAATCGCCACGCCCTAGGCGCTGGAGCTCCGCGTCCGCCATAGCCAGACCAAAGAAGCACAAGAAACACAAAAACACACAAGAGCCCTAGAGAAGCTTATGTGATGCTTGCGTGGAAAGGTCACTCCACGTGGCAGGCAAGTATAAAAGTGCGTGGTGAAAGCGTTTGCCCTAGAATGGCGATGGAGCTAGAGTTGAGGCCAGAGCAGCGAGAATGGTGCCGCCAAGCGTCTCTTCTTCTCAAGAACAAGTCCTCCCACCAGGCGAAGAGCGAATATCGTAAGTTTTCCCTTGATTTTATGGATCGATCGATCGATCAATCCTTTTTTTCTTTCGCAGAGGAGCTCGTCACTCTCCAGGCGCAAGAACTTCTCCATTCCTCCGCGGCAGATCACCCTCACTGCCGCAGCGCCACCAGAGTTGTGCTGCAAGGCAGCTCCCCCTCTTTCATCAACGCGAATTTCATCACTTCCAATGCCATTTGCGGCGGGCAGCCGGATTCACCTCTCCATTTCTGGGAGATGGTAGTGCAATGCAACTGTCGCGCGATCGTCAAGCTCACGGAGGTGGGTCATTGAATAGTTTTTCGATCGAGAGCAAAGATTATAGTTTCTTTTCTCTCGAGATCGAGAAGTTCTTGTTCTAGACTATAGACTTACACGATCTGTGGCAGGACTTGGCTGGCGATTACTTTCCACTGAGGCCGGGAGAATCACGAGTCTATGGTAGGATCAAGATCATCAACCGGAGCTCCTCGCGCAGCATTAACGACGTTACGAGGCGGCTTCTCCGAGTGGAGTGCGATGATCAAAGCTTCACGCTCGAGCACTGGCAGTACTCGTGGTCCGAGTTTGGTGTTCCCAAAAGAATAGAACCGATCCAGGAGATGTTCGCTGCTCTCTACAAGCTCCCGCCGGGCTGCTCCTACTTCATCCACTGCAGGTTTGTTCTTGTTTTCTCGATTAGTTTGTCTAAGACCTTGTGGTTTGCTTCACAGGGCTGGGATTGGCCGCGCTGGAACATTTGTCACACTGGATCACGTACTGAGAAGCATTCTCAGCGGTGATCTTAGCGTGGTAAACATCTCACGCACAGTGGCTCGGCTTCGACAGCAGCGGCGTGGATTGGTGGAGACGGATGTAAGTCTCTCGTCTACTTTCATTCCTGTTACTTAGAGATATCTGTTTTAGATTTGCTTAAAAGTTTGCTCGTTTCTTAAGATTAAGTTTTTGGCAGGAGCAATACTGGTTTTGTTTCCGGGCAGTCATCAAGATCCTCGAGTTCCTCATGTTTTCAACGCAACCAAAGACGGAGGTGAAATTCTTCGCTGGCACGAGACAAGTCGAGGTGTAACAAATCAATTATGTAAATTACTGCGGATGATAAAAAATAAAATAAAATCTGACTTTAAGGTGAAATGTAAGGTAATGCATATTTCTAACGAGTGATATCCTAGGCCCATGGATACATTTCAATGAAAAATGACACAAATGAGCTCCAAAAATCACACCCCGCCACCTCACGCTTCTTGCTCCCTGATCGGATCTCAAGCACATCTGTTTTCTTTTTTAAAACAAGCAAACCATTATGTAAACTTCTTTAATATTAACCTAAATCAAATTAAAGCAATACTTTTTCATTTGACACAGGAGTTAAATTTTAAATTGTAAAGGTGGGTGGTAAAACTTAATCTGTATCAAATTGGGGCATCTTCCAGTATCAAATCGAGCCCCCGAAAAGCGAGGCCCGCGTAGACTTTGGGAAAATTCGCACCCCCGCATGTTCCGGGGGGCGATGGCAACGTAAAGACGAAAGATGAGAAAAGAAAGACAGGTTAGCTCCCTATAATGCTGTCCAGCAGAGCGCGCTGGGCTTCACCGTAAAATCCCCGTTGTTGCATGCGAGAGCGTGGCATGGTGCTGGCCAAGAGGACATTGTTTCTGATTTGACTCGATTAACTCGGGACTATCAGCCTCGTGATCTCGTGCGCGTGATTTCTCCCCGACAGAGCTAGAGGACTCGTGACGATGGCGGCGTCTCATCCCTTTCGAGGCATCTCTCGGGATTTCCATGGCAGATTGGATGTTTATGGGCGAGATTGGAGAGATGGTCTCAAGGCCGGATCCGATTTCCTGAGGTTCGAGCTGGTATTGGAAGAATTCTGCGTGATTTCGATCTTGTTTGGCGCAGGATCTTGGCTCCAACCACGTATATTTTCTTCGCCTCGGCTCTTCCTGTCATAGCTTTTGGCGAGCAGCTCCAAAGTGACACAGGTTTCGTTTGAAAATTTTGGCCAATCTCTTTTCCAGCCTTTTGAGGAGTTCTTCCTTTTTCTTAGTTTCTTGCGCTCTTTTTCTTTGTTCCAGATGGTGCTTTGACGACTGCGCATGCTTTAGCTTCCACTGCCCTGTGTGGAATTTTGCAATCTCTGGTTGGAGGCCAGCCTTTGCTCGTTCTAGGAGTTGCCGAGCCGACTGTTATAATGTATGGTTTCATGTATAGCTTTGCAAAGAAGAACAAGGGTCTCGGCTTGCCACTCTTTCTTCCTTGGACGACCTGGTGAGCAATTGGTTGTTTTTGTTGTTTGTTTACAATTTCTTCTTTTTATTCTTACAGGGTTTGTATTTGGACCTCCTTGATCCTGTTTGTTCTAGCAATTTTCAATGCCTGCTCTCTCATCAATCGTTTCACTCGGATGGCCGGAGAAGTTTTTGGAAGTCTCATCGCGCTTCTCTTTATGCAGCAAGCCATCAAGGTTTCTATATGTTTGACAGCTATCGGCGAGGAAGAACTTCTAACTTATGAACTCTCTTGTTTTCCAGGGAGCCATTGGAGAGTTTCGAAAGCCCGACGAGGATGGCCTGGATTTCTCGTGGCGATTTGGAAATGGAACACTTGGCCTGGTGCTGTCGTTTGGATTTCTCTGGACGGCCATGCAGAGCAGGCGAGCAAGGTTTTGGAGATATGGAACAGGTGGAAATTTAAGAAGAACAAACATATCGCACAAAGTTCTTATTCGTGCTTTTCTTGGCAGGATTTCTGCGAGGATTTATAGCTGACTATGGTGTGCCTCTCATGGTCGTGCTGTGGACCGCAATTTCTCTTGTACCCTCGAGATCTGGAGGTGTTCCAAGTGGAGTTCCTCGCCGCATCTCAAGTCCCGACGCTTGGTCACATAAAGCATCAGGGAACTGGCTGGTTCTCCAGGTGGGATCAATATCTTCTTCCTGTTTTCTTACAAAACCTTTGCCTTGAATTTGGATCTATGCCTTCTCCCAGGATCTTCTCAAAGTTCCAACCGAGTTTATCTTTGGTGCCATCGTCCCGGCTTGCATGATCGCTTTGCTTTACTGCTTTGATCACAGTGTAGCGTCGCAAATGGCTCAGCAGGAAGACTTCAACTTACAAAAGCCAACTGCGTATCACTACGATCTTTTTCTTGTAGCAGCAATGGTAAGAAATGATTTGATTTTCGTTTAATTTGATCCACGTATTATATTTTCTACAGGTTTTGGTGTGTGGACTACTAGGAATACCACCTTCGAATGGAGTGCTTCCACAATCTCCAATGCATACAGCGAGCCTTGCTTCTCTAAAACATCAGGTTTCCCAGAAATTTCTTTCAATATTATGTGTTGTTATTAACGATATGCGAACTTCATTGTAGATTTTACGAGAAAAACTTGTCAAGGTTGTGGATGGTTGGAATGGATCATCTCAAGAACTGAGCCAGCGTCTCCAAGAAATAGTCGAGGAAGAAACAAGAACACGACAACCGAATCTAGAGTCTCATGTAAGAGTTTCAATCAAGCCTTGTGTTGGTGATCCTTGTTTTTGTTAATAGGATTTCACGTGCGAGGTGGAGCGAATTGAGAAACACATTGACGCGATGATTCCCACAGCGCTGGACGAGCAAAGGGTCAGCAACTTGATCCAATCG